AAAGAGAGTTATAATAGCGAAGGTCCTTAGATCGTGAATTTTGATGAATCATAACAATACCATAGATTGCTAACTATCATTTATTTGGTAGAGATTTTACTAGTAACGATAATTGAACAATTGTTGTCTCATATGTGTTGGTGGTTAAATGCAACAAATCAATGAATAAATAGAATTTTGAGAGAGAAGAATTTATATAGATGTATAATTTGTTTTAAATGTTCTTTTACGCTTAATTTTGTATTGGATGTCATGCTTTTGGACATCAATTGCACTCAAAACCCAACTACTTATTTAAAGGGTAAACAAAAGCAAGCCATAGATAAAATACATCAGTTACTAGAAAAATAATGAAGAAACAAAAAAAATGTAATGTAATATGATTATAATTGCTGTTAAAAGTCGCTTGCGCAGATATGTATAATTATTAATGATTCGCAATGCATAAGCAAAATCAACATAAGCATTTTTATGAAAAATTGAATACTCCGTTTGTTTGGTTTTTTTGTGATGTATTCTTGAAGTTTTAGTTTTATTTCTGTAGCCCAATAATTTTGTACCGAAATTCATGAAGAAACATCTATGTTGTAAAAAAAGAATGCAACTGGAATAATAGACTATTGAAATAAATACTTTTTTAACGATGAAACACGATATTTTGATGTATCTTACAATACAATACGTAATTTGCGGATTAAACATATGAAGACATTGATATAAAAAATATCTATGTTGATATGGGCGTTCTTACTCTCAAGATTATTTATTGTTTCAATAATAATTTGTCTTCTCGTACTTTGTTTTGAGTTTTCTATCGTTTTGGATGTCTCATATACCACAAAAGAATTTTAATAGATTTAAAAAAAAAAAATATTATTACAAAATAAGATTACGTGAAAAATTAAAAATACAAAACATCGTGTAAAACTGAACATAAATTTAACAATTGCTAATTTTATTTTGCATATTTTTACAGACCGTAGACAGTAAAGTATGTAAACAAAAATAGTTGAAGCATATCCTACTCGTATAAGTGTTTCGTGAAGAGTGAGATATCAATGGGTAGATCGCTACAATAATCAAAAAATTATTTATTGTACATAATGTAACTTGGTTGCTTTCAACTGAAATAGAAATGAAAAAAAAAGCAAAATGAATCATTTTAGAATTTCCACGAGTGAAAAAAACGATGTCTTCTCATATATAATTCGTTCTTCCAGATATGACTCACCAAATATGTCACGAACAAGATATAAGGTTTTCCATAATATCCAAAAGGTAAAAAAGACTTGTTTGCAAGTGGACACTTTTATTATGAGTAATATGCAACCCGTTATGAAATTTGAATTTTTACCAAATGAAATACTCATTGAATGTTGCAAATGTATCAATGCAACAGATGTTTTTTTATTCATGTGACTTCCTCAATTATCATTCTTACAAAATATTCGAATTATTCGACGTCTTATTTAAAGAATGGAAGGGTGCTAGAAAGGGCGCACAAAAGAAAGTTGTTATTATCTTCCTTCTTGTATAATAAAAGCATGTGAGTTTTATTTTTCTTATAAAATAAAAAATGAACGTTCGTAATTGAAGCTACTAATTGGATAAAAGCATTTTGTTGACTGATCGACTATCACATAACGTAATAAGAACACTAGAGCGTCCATTCAACATTAATCCTTGTTGTGTAATATGAACCCACTGATTACGGAATAATTTTTTCAAATTACGTGTTATATTTACCGAATTTTGCTTTAAAAAAAAGGAAAATAATTTTATTTAATATATTAATTAATTTTCTTATTTTTACTTACCGATGCATCATAACCATGTAAATGAAGTGTTTGAACAAATGCTGGTATTGTACAAAATTTTTTATCAATTTGTAATAATTCTGATGTATCAACAACAATTTTATCACCACGATCAATTAATTTAACTAATACTTTTGATCCATTTTCAGGATGTCTAATTAAAAAGAAAATAACAAAGAAAGAAATATCTTAGCAAATTTTCTTTTAAATTTACTTTATTATAACACGATAATATTTATCATATTGTTCGATAACACATGGTGTACCTTCCAAAATAACAGGTACAGTTAATCATTGATCATTAACAGAATTATTACAATATTGTTTAAGTTCTTTAGATACAAATTCAAATTCATGTTGGCGATTCTGAAAAAGACCATATAATTCAGCTGCACTACGAATTTGTGTTATTATATAATATCCATCATCTAAAGAGATATATATTAATACAACGAATGAAAAGAAATAATCAATCTTACCAGGTGGTACAGTGGCAACAGTCAATGATGAGCCAATAGATGATCTGAAATAATATTAAATGAAGTCAAGATTAATCATTTAATTTTCTAGAATAAATATCGCAGAATAAAGTTTATAATTCGAATTTATTTAATATTAAATCTGATGTATTTAAAAAGTATAATATTAACTTACAATGTACTCGGAGATTGTTGAGCAGTAGTGTTTTGGAATTCCGTATTGAATGTACGAGTTTGTGATTGTTGTACCATAGTATTTGGATTATTATAAAATTCATGTTGTTGTCGTTGTCTTGAAGGAGGTATTTCAGATGAAAGAAATTGTGGTCGTACAAATGATTGTTGTGGTGATTGATCTGAACAAAAATTTCAGCGTTGAGAATAACTTATTCTTGCATGAGAAACCAGATTGTTGTTAATAAGAAATGCGCCGAGATCTCCTACTTTTAAAACAATAGAGAAGAAAAGGAAATTTTATATGAATTCATTTGCTCATCTTGCTTTTTTTGTTTCAAATAGATTCTCGATCAAAGTCGTATGTTTGAATAAAATATATGAACATTGAAGATATAATAGTACTTTTCTTTTCTTCACTTATTCATAGAAATTATTTAGAATAAAGAATCGATAAAAAAAAATTACAGTAGAATAATCAAAAAGAATAGCAAACGAATGCGTAGATGCTACAAGAGCATTTTTACCCAGTGCTTCAAAATATTAAATGTAAATAAGCAAACCAATATGAGACTTTCAATCCAAGCGACAGCTATCCCTACAAATCGGACTTGTTATTTTAATTATTAATTTATTATCTTGTTATGATAGCATACGAGGATCTTAAAAACACTTTCGTAGGTTTTCTTAAAATATATTTTAATTGATAAAGCTCCACGAACTGAATAAACTTTCCTTTCGATAAGATTTTTCTATGAGATGTGATATGTAGATTCTACAGTGTATGAAAATAACATCATTTATAAAAATGAATGGCAATCGAAATTTAACTTTTCAAGAATCACTTTGTTCTTCGAACGAATCATCACTTACTAGGAATATCAATTTCAACCTCATAACATATTTGATTTTGTTTTGAACATACTTTATAATTAACAGTATTGACCATACCCAGGACGAAGAATCCAACAATCGGATCCGACCNCGACGGACTACATAAATGCTGTGCTTCGCACCGCATTAAAAACTCGCGACGGACTACATAAATGCTGTGCTTCGCAGGGCATTAAATAGCTTACTGTTTAATTAAAAAGTATCTCTTTTGAGAAGCTACGGATAAAAGATAATGAACAGCTGAAAATCTCCTTATATGGCAATGGATGATTCAGATTCATTATTTCTCACTTGTCAGCTGAGCGAAGATAGCTGAACGCAGTTGAAATTCATTATGATTTCCTCTATGCGAGTCTAAGTTTAGAAATAGTAGATGTCGTATAGGAACATATTCAGATACTTTTCGGACTCTGCAGTCAGCCACCTTTTCTACTCGAACTTGATTCGAGTGGAGGTCTAGTTTTTTTTTCTTATAAAATAAAAAATTTTTTTCTATAAAAGAAAAAACAAATGTTCACTAATTTGATAAAAGCATTTTGTTGATGGATCTATTATCACGTAATACAACATTAACAGCAAAATGACCATTTAACAATAGTCCATGTTGTACAATATGTACCACTTGATTGCGCATTAGTCTTTTTAAATGACGTGTAATGGTTACTGAATTTTTCTTTAAAAAAAAGGAAAATTATTTTATTTATATAGGGCAGTCAAAAAGTTCTGAGAACTCGTAACATCCCTTCAATAAGAAGTACATTATAATTATTTGTCTATAGCAAACGTTAGAAGACATCATAACAATGTCCGATAGCAAGCTCGATTTACTTTTGAATAATCTTATTGTATTTATCGATATGCGTCAAACTGATGGTGTCTTCTCACGTTTGTTATAGACAAATAATTATAATGTACTTCTTATTGAAGGGATGTTACGAGTTCTCAGAATTTTTTGACTGCCCTATGTAATAAATCAATTAACTTTATTAATTTTGCTTACTGATTCATCAAAATCATATAAAGAAAATGTTTGAACAAATGCTGGCATAGTACAAAATCTTTTATTAATTTGTAATAATTCAGATGTATGAACAACAATTTCATCACCACAATCAATTAAATTAACTAATACTTTTGATCCATTTTCACGATGTCTAATTAAAAAGAAAATAACACAGAAATGTCTTAGAAAATTTTCTTTTAAATTTACTTTATTATAACACGATAATATTTTCCATATTGTTCGATAACACATGGCGTACCTTCGACAATAAGAGGTAAAGTTAATGATTGATCATTAACAATATTATTGTAATATTGTTCAAGTTCTTGAGATAAAACTTCAAATTCATGTTGGCGATTCTGAGGACGACCATAAAATTCTGTTGTACTACGGATTTGAGTAATTATATAATCACCATCATCTAAATATATATATACATATGAGTTAATTGCAACTTTTTGGTACGATTGAGATTTTAGCTGTATTTCGCCAATAACTTTTGTTCTGCTCAATCGATTTCCACCAATTTTTTATATGTTATTGATCTTTGAGTGCTCCACTGGCACACAAAATTTGAGCTCTCTAGCTCCTATGATTGCTGAATTATGAGGCCTACACTGTCGAAAAATTGTATTTTACATGTAGCTGTACTAAGAAAGTGATATTTTCTAAGTATAAAAGAAAAGAGAAAAAATATAATGAATGGTCCATTTTGTACAGCTTGAGATGCTCTATCAAATGATATATCTTTTGTATTGTTTTTCTTTTTTTTTACACTCATTCACCTCGAATACTTAGTTACAGACACTTTGTCATTTTTGTGTAGAAGGACCTTATTTTTCGATTTTCTCCATTTGTCTACAAGTTGAATGAATCCGAACGTATTCAAAATAAAGTCAGTTGATCGGAAAACAAATTGATAAAAAAACTTTTTCTTAACGACTTTTTTTTTCATTGAAAAGACCGATCTTTTTTTAAGAAATTGAATTTTACTCACTTTGTAGAAGGACTTTTTGCAACTTTCATCGCTAATAACTTTTGAACAACTTATCCTTTTTTGCTCAAATTTTTATCGAACATATCGTTCTTAGACTTATATAACTGGTAGAAAATTCAGCTGTCCATCTCTTGTTGTTCTCGAGAAATTTACAATATACAATGAAATGTAGAAGGACCTTTTTTTAAATGTAGAAGGATCTTTTTTTTGTATGATATTTCAAGTAAAAGCGGGTCAAAATGAGTAGTTTTTTATATCAATCGATTTGTTTCACTGCGGAAAGTTATTCTGTCTATATTGTCAGAAAAATTATTGGGTTTCAAAATAGCTTTAATGTGTCAGAAACTGATCCTGGCCGTTTTTTTCGAAAATGTTACAAATTTATGCATATTTTTAGTTGAAATATTAAGGTTTTGGAATTTTTTATAGTAGTATTTACGGATCTAAGTACAGTGTAAGACTTTAGATAAGTAGTTTTAGTGCTGCCAAAATGCATACTAATTGCTGTAAAATCTTAACCTTCAGAAAATAAGGTCGATCATAAAAATTGTTCACTTGAAAAACCCATATCTCCGTTAATAATCGATAAAGTGTCGGGAAATTTTTACTGTATAATACAGACATAGAGTACAATAAAATACACTAATGAAAAGTTGGTTCGGTTTACTTTTATTTTTTTTCGCCAATCGTACCAAAAAGTTGCAATTCACTCATATATATATATATATATATTAATACAACGAATGAAAAGAAATAATCAATCTTACCAGGTGGTACAGTACCAATAGTCAATGATGAGCCAACAGATGATCTGAAATAATATTAAATGAAGTCAAGATTAATCATTTCATTTTCCAGAATACATATCACAGAATAAAGTTTATAATTTGAACTTATTTTAATATTAAGTCTGATGTATCTAAAAAGTATAATATTAACTTACAATGTACTTGGAGATTGTTGAGCAGTAGTGTTTTGAAATCTCGTATTGAATGTACCAGCTTGTGATAGTTGTACCGTAGTATTTGGAGTTTTATAAAATTCATGTTGTTGTTGTTTTGAAGGAGGTATTCCAGATGAAGGAAATTGTGGTTCTACAAATGATTGTTGTACTGGTTGATTTGAACCAAAATTTGAACGTTGAGAATAAGTTTTTGTTGCATAAGAAACCAGATTCTTATTAATAAGATGTGTGGCAAGATCTCCTCCTTCTAAAACAATACAGAAGAAAAGGAAATTTTATATGAATTCATTTGGTCGTCTTGTTTTTTTGTTTCAAATAGAATCTCGATCAAAGTCGTATGTTTGAATAAAATATATAAACATCAAAGAATAACAATACTTTTCTTTTCTTCACTTACTCATAGAAATTATTTAGAATAAAGAATGGATAAAAAAAATACAGTAGAATAATCAAAAAGAATAGCAAACGAATGTGTAAATGTTATAGGAACATTTTTACCCAGTGCTTCAGAATATTAAATTTAAATAAGCAAACCAATGTGAGACTTTCAATCCATGTGACAGACATAGCTACAAATCAGAGTTGTTATTTTAATTATTAATTTATTATCTTGTTATGACAACATGCGAAGACCTTAAAAACACTTTCGTAGGTTTTCTTCAGATATATTTTAATTTATAAAGTTCCACGAACTGAATAGACTTTCTTTCTTATAAGATTTTTCTATGAGATGTGATGTGTAGATTCTACAGTTTATGAAAATAACATCATTTATAAAATGAATGTCAATCGAAATTTGACTTTTTAAGAATCAGGCTATCCTTCAAATGAATCATCACTTACTAGGAATATTAATGTCCACATTATAACATATTTGATCATGTATTGAACGTATTTCACAATTAACTGTATTAACCATAAGTTTTATAAATTCATCATGGACTTCATCATTTAATTTCCATGTTGATTGTTCATTGCCATTCATTGGACATACATGATATAAACAACATGGAATCGCAAATGCTGGTTTACTTCGAAATTCTCTTGGTAATTCACGAGTATTATTTATTGAAATACTTTCTATGTGACCAATATCACAAAAATAAACACACAAGTTTGATAAATCATCCGCAACATCTTTTTCAAAAAAAAAACAACAGAGTATTAAAAAGAAATGTTCCTCTTTCTATCATACCTAATATAATAGCACGATGCCATAAAGCACGACTATCTTCTACAGCAATTGCTTCATATTTCAACGGTGATGATAACATATGAAAATTTTGTACAAATTTTTGTAAATCAATTTGAAACTATAAAAATAATATAAATATTATTTTATTTTAAAATAAAATTTTATTATTTACACTTGTATGAGAATTAAATTTTTCTTTAAGATAAACATAAAAACGAGTTGGACTTATATAATAAAGCATACAAATTTCATTTGCTTGAGTAGAATCTAATATTTCCATGGAAATTTCTTTACAAAAAGAGAAAAAAAATAAATATATCAATTTTAATAAACATACCTTGATAAACATGTTGATCATTTATTTGTACTGCTGATCGCTCCATTTGATATTGTTCTATTTAATAGAAAAATAAATTTGAAAATCTAATAAAATTTAAAGTTTTATCATACCAAAATTTTTATTTACTGTTGTTGTTGATCCTTTTACACGTATTACAACATCTGATATTTCTCGTATATCATTGTAATTCACAAATCGCGCATAAAAAATTCCTTTATTTAATTGTGCACGAAATTCATCAATAACATTTAATGGCCAACCATTTGTCGGTTTAATTATATTTGATAATGTACAACGATGAGCGAGACGGAATGTTTGAAACATCCAATCCTAATAAACAAAATAATTTTTCAAAACAGCAAAATCAATTTTTCGCAACGATTTACCTGTAATGGCCGAAGAAATTGTACATTAATACGTTGTACATCACCATAATCTATTCGATAGATTGATGCAAAACCATTTGAATCTAATTGACGAATAACACCACGATCCCAACCTTTATCATTTATTGTACATGCACAATAATCACCTACACGAAATGTTTCATTTAATGCAGCAGGTGTTCTATTAACAAAACAAATTATATTTATTTAAAAAAGTAAATATATTACATACGTTAATTCTTTCGAAATTTCTTTAGTAAATTCAGGACCAAGGTTCAAAAGTTTATTGTACGACCAATGTGAATAAAGATAAAAATCTATGAAGAAAAATTATTTTAATTAAACGAATATTTATTAGAGAAATAGTAGCAAACCATTAAGGTCAACAATATGACCTACAAAAACTCGTGGTTCTGTAGCAACAACAAAAATTGAAGGATGAGTAGCATCAACCATTGTTATATAATAAAATGAACATAAACGATAGCCGACTATTCAATCGAAAATCTCTGTAACCAATTAAAATTCAAAACAGTAAAAAAAACATCAGTATGAAGAACAGAAAACAACCTATTAGAAATTATCCACTAAATCGTTTGTTTTCCTTTCTTATTCTTCTTACCGATCTATCTTTCTAATAATTCAATAAAGAAAAAAAAACATAATATCTTATTTGCGGGAGTCGTTTCATTAATGGTTTTACCTAAGAAAAACAATCAAATATTCAGAATAATATTTAGATTTTTCTGAATACTTAAGAAACCATAAGTTTAATATACATAACTAAAAAAATTCCATTATTAAATCTATTCTTCTATTAGTAAAATAGTTGTTTCGTATCTTCACTTCTCAATGCTTTATCGATTCTGTTAGCAGCTTTTTTTGTACAAAGTTCTCCGCTTTGCATTTCTTTTTCAATTCCGAACTAGTTTTTCCTTTCGCATAATAGAATACAAGTTGATTGAAAGACATTATTTGAAACAATTTACTTTCGAGGCACAATTATATTTTGATTATTTTTTTTTATCAGTAGCACTTTATTTGGTTTCTTCATTTCTATATATCATAAGAAATATTCAAATTTTCAAAATAACGTTCTTCATTATTTTTGTATTTTTATTCCACAAAAATCAATTTTATTTAAATAATAATTGACAATCATGAAAACCATGACCGAATATCTGTACGAAAAAAATAGTCTTTGACATGTTTTTCAAGTTGAGTAACATTTCCATTATAGCAATAAATTATTTTTGAACAATTGAGTCGTGTTGCATCTCGCGTAAAATTGTCTGTTACTTTTTTAAGTAATTCACGATTGACAAAAAGATAAACATTATTTAGTAAGCATGTTTTTGTATCAAGTAAAAATTCTTCAAGATAATCTTCATGAGCTTGAAAAAACCGAAGTTCAGTAAGATGATAGTAATTAATAATTGATAAATTTTCATCATCATTTTTTGATTCTCTACGTCCTTTATTCATTTGCGCTTCACGATTAGTTATAGTTAACTTTTTCATAAATGGAAATGATTGAGCAATTTGAAGAAAAAATTCATGTTCAAATGGATGTTCATCATATAATGATACTTCATAAACACATTTAAATAATCCACCTGGAAAATTATTTGTTATATTATTGTAACATTTCCATTCATATGGATATGAATACATATGACATAAATTACATCTACTTTTTTGAAAATCATCAACACAAGAAATAATTGGATTATATTTAAAATCTTTGAAGGATTTTTGAATATCTTCATTTGATGGCAAATCAGTTTGATTATAAGGACTATTGAATGATCTAATATTAAATGTAAATGAATTTAATCGTAACAGATGATTGATAATATTTGTCTTTAAATTATCACCATCAATAAATGTTTGTCTACCAGTAACGTTCAGGTACAAGTGAAGTTTTTCTAAATTTGACATTCGATGTAAAAGTGGTAGAATAAAATCATCATATAGCTGTGTTTTTGCCTCACAATACAACAAAAAGCATCTTAAATTAGGTAGTTTTTCCTAAAAAATACAATAATATTTTTTCATCTGACTCAAAGATATTATTCAAAATAATATACCTTATTATTGATTGTTTCATACGGTACACAAATGAAAGTAATATAAACATAAAGTGTATGTAGTTGATTGAATCGTCCATCAAGTAGATAAAGACAATCAATAAGACACGACAAACATATATGTAATTCTGATAGAGTTGAAGAGAAAACAGCTAGAGGTGAAGTACCGTATGATCCAAATGATAATTGTTGACATTGATTTAAAGATGGACCGAAATTTAAATATCGTAAATTCGTAAACATAACACACACATGTGTAAATATAAATCGAATAATTTCTATTGAATCTCCTTCAACACTTCCAGTAATATCGATAACAAGTGATGAAATTTGATTTTTGAATCTATAAGTTAAAGTTTCATCTAAACATAAATTGATACTATTGAATAAATAATAAGAAAATGTAGTAGAAGATTAGATTTGTATGTTGTAAAGTGAATTGAAAAAAGACTAAAACAATCTATGTTAGG